CTCTCTCCCACCTTCAATACCACGACTGAGGTGCGCTTGAGCAAGGCACCGAGCCCCCAACTGCTCCCCGGGCGCCGCAGCAAAAAAATGGCTGCCCACTGCTCCGGGTGTGTGTGTTCACGGTGTGTGTGTGTTAACTGCTGTGCAGAATTCTGCAGAGCACTAATTCTGAGTATGGGTCACCATACTTGGCCACATGTCACGTCACACTTTAAAAAAAGTCTTTAATATTAAAAATGTTTATGTAAAATGTTTAGTTTGTGCTGTTCTGAAACCCTTTATTTTGACTTGTCCACAGGATGACAGCCACACTGAATGGGTGTCCTGCGTGCGTTTCTCTCCCAACAGCAACAACCCCATCATTGTGTCCTGCGGGTGGGACAAAATGGTCAAGGTGAGACCTTTGTCTGTACCTTAATGGAAACTAGAACAGTCGCTCTGTGTTTTTGTAATAATTTTACCCTGTGATTAAACAAATCCACATTCATATTGTCTGAGCTCTTGGGCTCTGATGACAAGTCCTGCAATTATGATGGGTAACGGATTGAGACCAACAAAGTGAACAACTTAATCTGGGCAACTTGCATGGATTGCCTGTATATTTGCTAATGCAGACAGTTTAAGTTATGTGTTTGTTACAGGTATGGAATCTTGCTAACTGCAAGCTGAAGACCAACCACATTGGCCACACTGGATACCTGAACACAGTGACAGTGTCTCCTGATGGATCTCTGTGTGCCTCTGGTGGAAAGGTACTCGTGTCACTAATTTTCAGTAATGCAGTTGGTGAACAGGTTAGAGTTTTGAGATGACAGGGTAAAGATGATGAAACCTTAATGCCATCTGAATCCATGTGATTATAAAAGAGGCTGTTTCTGAACAAAAAATACTGGAAAAAAACATTGAGCGTTTTCAGAGCTCATTTTTAACTTTCCTATCTGTATTTACTGTTTGTCCTCATTACAGGATGGGCAAGCCATGCTGTGGGACCTGAACGAGGGCAAGCACCTTTACACCCTGGATGGTGGTGACCCCATCAACGCCCTTTGCTTCAGCCCCAACCGCTACTGGCTGTGTGCCGCCACTGGACCTAGCATCAAGATCTGGGTGAGTTTATGTACATTAACCCATCTCATTCATATATATATACTCCATATAAAAGTTTTTTCAAATGCAAAGACTTCCTTTTTCTGTCTTGAATATATTTTAACAATTACCGTTTATATTGGAGCACAGAATTCAGTGATGAAAGTTCAATGCCTTCTGTAACTCTATGATGATAAAGAGGCTGTTTCTGAGAACTGTTGGCCCGAGCGGGTACAATATCATATTGCTGTTGCAAAGCTGACCGTTTTCTCTCAACAGGATCTGGAGGGCAAGATCATTGTTGATGAGCTGAGGCAGGACATCATCACCACCAACAGCAAGGCTGAGCCGCCTCAGTGCACTTCTCTGGCCTGGTCTGCTGATGGACAGGTGGGTTTATTTACAGCAGCCTTTTCCGCCTGGAATGAGTTCCTGAACTATTCCTTGCATTTCATTAGTCTGCAAATTTTGGCTGGATCAGCTGCTCCCATTGATTATTCCCAATCACTTATAACATCTGAAACCTTATGGTGACAGTCCTGCAAATATGAGGGGGCATTAAATATGATTTAAAATCAGTAGCAAGCACTTCTAAAGCGATGTTTGATTATAATTCCGGTTTCTTTTCTCATCACAGACTCTCTTTGCTGGCTACACTGACAACCTGATCAGAGTGTGGCAGGTGACCATTGGAACGAGATAGACGCCTTTTCTAATGTCTAAATAAAATAAAACTTTTAAAAACAACTACAATTGACCTTGTTTACTTAATTTTTTCTGACTTGCAATAAAATACAACTGAAATGCAACCATTTGAGTCGTGTAAATAGGTTTGAGTAGCCGCTAGATGGCACTAATGTATGTTGATTCAATCTATGCGACTTGTTGCCTAGCAACAAGGCCAACAAACCGGACTCAACGTTTCCACATTCATATTGTCTGAGCTCTTGGGCTCTGATGACAAGTCCTGCAATTATGATGGGTAACGGATTGAGACCAACAAAGTGAACAACTTAATCTGGGCAACTTGCATGGATTGGCTGTATATTTGCTAATGCAGACAGTTTGTTATGTGTTTGTTACAGGTATGGAATCTTGCTAACTGCAAGCTGAAGACCAACCACATTGGCCACACTGGATACCTGAACACAGTGACAGTGTCTCCTGATGGATCTCTGTGTGCCTCTGGTGGAAAGGTACTCGTGTCACTAATTTTCAGTAATGCAGTTGGTGAACAGGTTAGAGTTTTGAGATGACAGGGTAAAGATGATGAAACCTTAATGCCATCTGAATCCATGTGATTATAAAAGAGGCTGTTTCTGAACAAAAAATACTGGAAAAAAACATTGAGCGTTTTCAGAGCTCATTTTTAACTTTCCTATCTGTATTTACTGTTTGTCCTCAGAGGCTGTTTTTGAACAAAAAATACTGGAAAAAAACATTGAGCGTTTTCAGAGCTCATTTTTAACTTTCCTATCTGTATTTACTGTTTGTCCTCATTACAGGATGGGCAAGCCATGCTGTGGGACCTGAACGAGGGCAAGCACCTTTACACCCTGGATGGTGGTGACCCCATCAACGCCCTTTGCTTCAGCCCCAACCGCTACTGGCTGTGTGCCGCCACTGGACCTAGCATCAAGATCTGGGTGAGTTTATGTACATTAACCCATCTCATTCATATATATATACTCCATATAAAAGTTTTTTCAAATGCAAAGACTTCCTTTTTCTGTCTTGAATATATTTTAACAATTACCGTTTATATTGGAGCACAGAATTCAGTGATGAAAGTTCAATGCCTTCTGTAACTCTATGATGATAAAGAGGCTGTTTCTGAGAACTGTTGGCCCGAGCGGGTACAATATCATATTGCTGTTGCAAAGCTGACCGTTTTCTCTCAACAGGATCTGGAGGGCAAGATCATTGTTGATGAGCTGAGGCAGGACATCATCACCACCAACAGCAAGGCTGAGCCGCCTCAGTGCACTTCTCTGGCCTGGTCTGCTGATGGACAGGTGGGTTTATTTACAGCAGCCTTTTCCGCCTGGAATGAGTTCCTGAACTATTCCTTGCATTTCATTAGTCTGCAAATTTTGGCTGGATCAGCTGCTCCCATTGATTATTCCCAATCACTTATAACATCTGAAACCTTATGGTGACAGTCCTGCAAATATGAGGGGGCATTAAATATGATTTAAAATCAGTAGCAAGCACTTCTAAAGCGATGTTTGATTATAATTCCGGTTTCTTTTCTCATCACAGACTCTCTTTGCTGGCTACACTGACAACCTGATCAGAGTGTGGCAGGTGACCATTGGAACCAGATAGACGCCTTTTTCTAATGTCTAAATAAAAAAAGTATTTTAAAAAGAATTACATTTGACTTTGTGTTTACTTCAATTTCTCTGCCTTTAAATAAAGTACAACAGAAACGCAACCATGCGAGTCATTGAAATAGGGTTGAATAGCCGCTAGATGGCGCAACTATAGATTTATTTTATTCGACTGTTGCCTAGCAACAAGGTCAACAAACCGTTGAGGGCGCGACATGATGCACGACGCTTGAATTAGATGAACTATTTTAATGTTGTAAGTAAACATGAATTGTGCTTCCATTCTGGTAAAAACATTTTGCACTTTATAATTTGGGAAATGTTGCCCTGGCTGTTCAAGCAACTTCAAATGCAATTGTGAAAAAGTCCAGAAACTGCAGAAAAATAGCGTAACACTAACGTTAGCTGTTTAAAAGTCATGGAGGGCGACAGTCCCCAAAAACAGATGCCTGCACCTCGTATCTTCGTGGAGAGAACGCTGGCTTTAATCAAACCTGATGCCATCCACAAAACTGATGAAATTGAGGACGTTATTCTTCAATCTGGATTTACAATTCTTCAGGTACGTATTGATCAGACACGTCGCACGTGGCACGTTTTTTATTTATTTTTTTATAAAAAAATTAAAATTTTGCACGACGCAAAAGATGAATTATTTGCATGGTGAATTGACACAATCCCTGATTCTGGTCATTTTGTAAGCACAAGACAGTCATGTGGTGTCTGATGCCACTACATTGTTTAAAATTAGGCTGATGAAATGTATTAAAACAACAGAAATCTATGCGATCTCTGTTCCTATTTCCTTCCTTCCTTCTAGCCTGTAACGTTACTAATCTGGAACGTGTTTAAAACATGGTAATGCTAGTGTTTCTCGTGTCATTGCCTCCAAATGATAAACTGCTTGTATTCCTCATTTGTAAGTCGCTTGGATAAAAGCGTCTGTTTAATAAATAAATGCATATAGCCCTTATCAGCTAATAGTTCATATTTTGTAGCCAATGCTTTAGTTGAAGAATGAGATTTGCATTCTGCTTATGCCTTAATCGTTCTCATTTTGTTTTTCTCATTTACCAGAAAAGAAGGCTTCAGCTGAGTCCAGAGCAATGCAGTGATTTCTACTCTGAGCATTATGGGAAGCTGCATTTTCCCCATCTGACTGCCTTCATGAGCTCCGGACCGGTTGTTGCTCTAGCACTGGCCCAACACCAGGCTATTGCCACCTGGAAAGCCATAATGGGACCAGTCAGCAGTATAAAAGCTAGAGAGACACATCCTGACTGGTAATGAGTATCACTGAATGAATCTTCTGTCTATGCAGGTGGTTTAATAATAAAATGGACTTATAAAGTTACATTTTTTCTTGTATTGTTGGGAGAACTATCACAGTTGCACCAATAACAGTGCCTTTTAAATTCCTGGCAAAATAAATAGATGCTTTTGTTGGATTTTATGCACTTCAGGATAATAATTTACAAAACCAGTGTTCATTGCAATACATAAATTAATCACATAACTCATTTGTCATTGCAATAAAGCTATATATTTATTATGCATGCTGTAATATATGTAGGCTAACAGTCATATTTCTTCTTTCTGGCAAACGCACTTCTGGGCACACATCATCACTGTGATTGTCATCATCAGTCTGAGAGCGAGATTCGGCACGTGTGACCTGCAGAATGCTGTGCATGGCAGTGAATCCTTCTCTGCTGCTGAGAGGGAGATCAGGTTCATGTTTCCCAACTGTGAGTAAATCTAACCTTGTCCAGATGAGTTCAGTGAACAGGATGTGAAAGCATACTTTTTGTCTTTGTCGTCTGTTTCAGCTGTGATTGAACCTATTCCTATGGGAGATGCTGCCAAAGATTACCTGAGCCGCTACGTCAGCCCAACACTTCTCACCGGACTGACAGAGCTGAGCAAGAAAAAGCCACTGGACCCTTTTGTAAGTGTATCTATTGATTAAAAGTATTTAAAAGTCAATTTGATAGATTTGGAATTACTTTAAAGGCAAATAAATAATGACAGAATTTTAATTTTGGAAGTATTTCTTTAAAATTGTTCAACCAGTTTCCTGTATTTTGACACTGTTGTTCTAAGGAAATTCCATTAGATTTTGACTATTGGATCAAACCATGAAAATTGGCTCCTCAAAAAGAAAAAAAAGGACTCTGAAATCAGATTAGATCACACTGTCTTGGTTTTCTTAATCAAACCTTCAGAATGTTGTTTAAAACTTAAAACTGGGATGCCTTTGATCCAAAAAAAAAAAATCAATCAGGATTATACTGATTTTAGCAGATGGGTGGATTTCAGGGGCAAAATATAACAAATCTTTACAACTGTTTACTGTAAAGCCTTTTAGGGTGGGTTGCACCAACAAGGATTAAATTTAGCAAAGTTTAGAGCTAATCAAGGATTTGTTGATCTGGGTTTTATTTTAAATCGAGTTGTGTTGCACCACTTAATTTTAAACTTGGATTAACAAATCTGGGATTCGAATTCTAACCTGCAATTAAAACCTCCATCTACGAATAATTTTCTCCGCTATGATGGATTCATCATGTAATTAAACCGCAACAATGCTAATATTCCTTATCCTCTGTCTCTGACATAAGTTGCTTTTGTTGATAAAGGAAATAAACTTGTAAAAGGTCCACCGTCTTTATGAACTGCTAACGTACGTAGAGAGACCGTTGATCAAACGGCTGATCAAGCAAGCAATCAAAACTTTGAGGCAGTGCATACGGATTTCATAATATTGGAAATATATTTATAGTATAAATTAATGGAGTATAGTGTATGACAAAACAATCGAGATAAGAGAAAATAACTGGCATGATTCGCGGAGTGACTACCTCCGCTCGTGACAGTGGCATCCTGTCCGTTTGATCGCCGTTCAACAGCACGCGTGGAGCGGGCGTGAGAAACGAGAGACGAGATAAGTGAAGGATTCACATACCAGACTCGATAGCAGACGCAAGTTTACTATGGGCTGCAACGACCCTCAAAATCTGCAGGCTCAGTGCGCTTTCATTTTCATTTTTATTTACAATAAACACCTCTCTGAGACCTGACGACACACCCGCTGTTTCAGCCACATAATTGTAACTGTAGGTGCACTTTATTTTAGGGATGCACGATATATCGGCCACCATATCGGTATCGGCCCATATCGGCTAATTTTTTCTGTTATCGGTATCGGCCTGATAAGAAAATTTGGCCGATATCTTAAAGCCGATAAATAATGCATTATTTCCTTCAGAGACACTTCAGATGCGCGCTGTTCGTTTGCAGCCTTTTGTGCAATTGTACATTGTAATATTGTGTTTATTTGATGTATATCTGATTTATCTCATATAGAATGCGTTTGGTTAAGTTAAAAAGAGCGCTTCAGTTTACCGGTGATCATCTTTAGCTCAGCACACGCAGCCCAAACAGCAGTGCACAACATTAATAACTATGATTGGGAATGTCGTGTATATAACATTCTAATGAGAACATTATTATAATAAAACGTTGTGAATTCTTTGGGTTTAGTTGCCATGTTTCAGCGCGTTGTTATGGGAAGAGCGCATCCACAACAGGATCACACATTCTGACTATAGCATGCAATAACTGCGTCATTTTGTACATATATAAGTTGTAATATTATGTTTATGTTGTATTAATATTAATCTCAGGATGCATTTCCTTGAGTTAAATAAGCTGCCAGCAAAACGCTTCAGTTTACCGTGTTCATTCAGCTCTTCAGCTTCAGCTTGAGCTGCAGCTCAATGGCTGCTATTTAAAACAGTGGTATTAATTTGTTACTTTTTCAAAATCATTGATATATTATTAATAACAACAACCACTTGTATTTTTCTCTTATTATTTTCATCAACAATATGGTTTAGTAATTAAAATCATTTAATTATTGTCCGTGCAGAGGCTATTCCGTTTTATTGATCTGTGGCGCATTCATTTTGATTCTTTACATGTGTAATGATGTCCAGTGACTTGTTTGCATTATTTATGCATAATTTTATTTATTTGTAAGGCTTTTTTATGACTAAATTTGGTAATGGGAGAGTAAAAATATTTTTAAAACGTACACCGTTCAAACTAGGCTGCTTATGTTGAAGTGTTTGGGATGTGGCTTTTAATGATGAGACCTTTTTTGTAATCAGGCTCTCAAAAAGTATATAACAATTTGGATATAGATTTATCGGCCAACATATCGGTTATCGGCTTTCAAAAATAAAGAATAATCGGTTATCGGTATCGGCCAAAATTTTCATATCGGTGCATCCCTACTTTATTTTCTTTAAACCTCCTCACCTGTAAGTTTAAAATTAATCCCTAATCGAGATTTAAATCTGAGTTTAAAGTTATGGAGCAACATGATTAAAGTTAATCTATCTTAAATATAAATTAAATCCAGGATCAAGATGATGGTTTAAATGTAAACCTGTTTATTTTTTAAACAAGGTTTAAAGTTTGGTGCAACAGAGTTATTAGATAAACCTTGATTTAATCTAGATTTTAGATGAATCCTTATTGGTGCAACCCACCCTTAATATAGTAAAGGCTGTAAGTTTTTTTTTTTTTTTCTTTGGTGACCCATACTTGGAATTAGTGCTCTGCATTTATCCCATCCAAAGTGCACACACACACAGTGAACACACACCCGGAGCAGTGGGCAGCCATTTATGCTGCGGCGCCTGGGGAGCAGTGGGGGCTCGGTGCCTTGCTCAAGGGCACCTCAGTCGTGGTATTGAAGGTGGGAGTGCTATAAGAGTGCTGTACATTCACTCCCCCCACCTACAATCCCTGCCAGTACGAGACTCGAACACACAACCTTTGGGTTATGAGTCCAACTCTCTAACCATTAGACCGCGACTTCCCCCTTTTTTTAGATTAAAAAATTGCACCTTATTGGTGCAACCCACACTTAGTATAGTAAAGGCTTTACGTTTCAGTAGCGTAAAGAAAAAAAAATTTTTTGTCCCCATAAAATAATCCCCCAGCTGTCAATATCAAACAAAAATGGCCATTTATCTCTGAATATTAATTACATTCACTGACACAATCAACATTGCATCTGTTATTCCATGTATATTTGTTTGTTTTGATTTATTTGTTGTAGGTCAGATAAGGGGTTGACTGTAAAAAAAAAAGAGGGATGTTTGTATTGTTTTATTGTGCTGTTCTGCTTCATAAACAGTAGTCAACATTTGAGGTGGATCAAATAAAATTAATCAAAGTTGTCCTAAGACAATAACGCATACTTTTGATGCGCGACTTTGATAAAGTTTTGATCCACTTCAACTGTCGACTACTGTATATTGATATGCTATTTTTGTATTGTTATTTTTCTTTACAGACATGGCTTGCAGACTGGTTGATGAAGAATAACCATAATAAGCCCAAAATATCTGATGTAACAGTAGTAGAGGAGGCAGCAGTGTGATTTTTTTTTTCTTTCTTTCCTCAAGCAAGAAGAATTTACCAACAAGAAGTTACTGTATTGCTCTATTTTGGACGTTTTCTCTCATATCATTTGAACTCTTTTATAAAATAAAGTTTTGCCATTTTGTCGTAGCCCTTTTTTATTGTGCTATCTAAATGTGTTAGCTTTATATTGTCATCATGGTTCATTTAAATGTAAGATAAAACTGCAAATTTACAGTATCCTAATCTTGTCACTGATTACTGTAACAGTAGAAATATTCAACATTATTCAACATCAAATAAAATGTTTAAATAAAAAATATATATACACCCTTCTGGTGGTGATAAACAAATATTTGATTCACCAACAGTTTTGAAAGTGAAGCACTAAAAGTACATTAAGACGATTATCTGATCTCGACAAAATGAAAGTAAGAATGAATATAATGAATAGGCCTATTGCAAATGCAGCTGTAACCTCCTTCCTATTACTATTTTGACTAGACAGAAAAAAAATCCACATTCAAACGCCTGTTTCTTGCATTATCTGCTTTATAGCTTCCTTCTAAAAAAATACAAACTTTTTTATTTTATTTAAAAGTGGTCAACAGCACGTTCAAACCAAACAAGAACAAAGAGTTCTTCCCCCACTCGACACATTAGGTTCAGAAGAAGCGCGTTTGGGGGAGGATTTATGTGACGTGAAAGCGACACGTTTGATTGGCTATTAGAATGATAGGCGTTCAGAGCCACCCAATCAAATGCGCCCTTACTAAACTTCCTTCATCTTCCATCCAGTAATATAAAACCAACCGCTTGTCGGCGCAATAAGGAAGGGCCCACACCGCGGAAAGCATTCCACGGAGATTTTTCACTTGCTGCTTTTACGGTAAAGTATTTACGTGTAAATTGTGAATTTGTTAGCCTCCGTGTACGTATTAGTTGCGTTAACACTTATATTCAATTATAGCTCAGTAACGCGGTGTATTTATGATTTAGGAAAACGATGTGTTTACGTTCGTGTTGCGTATGAGAATGCAAGCGGCGCTGCTCAAAATGGTGGTTCTTCTGCATTACATAAGGTGCTTCCTTTCGTAACCATTTCACATTCGCTGCAGTTTTAGGTTTTCACATTAAACTACCACCATGTCAGACGCCGAGCAGCAATATATGGAAACCTCAGAAAACGGCCACGAGGACGATCTGAACGGAGCCGGGCAGTACGAGGAAGGCACCGGGGAAGCGCAGGCCGCGGCGCAGGGAGACGCCGGTGGCGACGACACGGCCGGGGATGAGGAAGACCCACAAAATGGCTCATCGGACGGAGGGCAGATTGATGCCAGCAAAGGAGAGGAAGATGCGGGGTATGTTAAAGGCATAATTGTGCTAAATGCTGGGACGTAAAATCCTTTGTTCCTTCCCGTCTTTGTTGGCGCCATGTGTCTTTTGAAGGGGGATGGGCGCAACGGTGAATTGAACGCGGACAGGGGTTTTAAAATGCTCCGTTGAGCCTCTTAATTGTTTCCTTAAGCGAACGTTTTTGTATTTTTGTGCGCTTAATATATCTGTGGCGTGTTGCAGTTATTTCTGTTTATTAGTGGAGTGGAGTGGAGTGGAGTGGAGGGGAGGGGGGGGGGGGTAAAAGAAGAAAACGGTGAATTGAACGCGGACAGGGGTTTTAAAATGCTCCGTTGAGCCTCTTAATTGTTTCCTTAAGCGAACGTTTTTGTATTTTTGTGCGCTTAATATATCTGTGGCGTGTTGCAGTTATTTCTGTTTATTAGTGGAGTGGAGTGGAGTGGAGTGGAGGGGAGGGGGGGGGGGTTAAATGCAAGAACTGGGGAAATGTCTGAAATCTGTGCTTCCACGCCCCCTCCTGGTCTCACTCTGATTTTCTGCTTCGTTTCCTCAGGAAAATGTTTGTTGGAGGGCTCAGCTGGGACACTAGTAAAAAGGATCTTAAAGATTACTTCTCTAAATTTGGAGAGGTGACCGACTGCACCATCAAAATGGACCCCAACACTGGGCGATCAAGGGGATTTGGGTTTATTCTTTTTAAAGAGTCAGCCAGTGTAGACAAGGTAAGCTTTGGCGCTTAGAAAAAATTGAAGTCTTGTGATTTCTTCAATGGTAAGCTAAATCGTCCTTTCTCTTTGCACAGGTTTTAGCACAAAAAGAGCACAGACTGGATGGACGACAGATCGACCCCAAGAAGGCAATGGCCATGAAGAAAGAGCCCGTTAAGAAGATCTTTGTCGGCGGGCTGAACCCCGAAACTACAGAAGAGAGGATCCGCGAGTATTTTGGTGCCTTTGGCGAGGTACTGAAGTGGTCCTTATAGATTTGAATTTTCTTTCAATTGTTTTAAGCAAGCTTAACTAATCTTGGAAAAAATGTCGGCTTGTGTTTGTGCAATTATACTGCAGTTACTGTATGTTGGCCATGTAAAGTTTCTAGTTTGATCTTTGCACATTTTCTGTGCATGTTTTTTTTTTGTGTGTCCGTTTTGGCAATTACATTTGTGTACACATTTGTTAACATGATGATTTTTGCCACTGCAGATTGAGACTATTGAACTTCCAATGGATCCAAAGACAAATAAGAGGAGAGGGTTTGTCTTCATTACCTTCAAGGAGGAAGAGACCGTCAAGAAAGTTGTAGAAAAGAAATATCACAACGTCAGTGGAACCAAGGACACAAATGGAAAAGAAGGCCTTGTGAGTGTTACCAGTGTGAAGTTTAGCTTGAATTTACTGTGACGCATCTTCAGGGTTGTTGTTCGCTGTTTGACATTGTGCTACTTATTTGATTATTCATTTTAGTGGTAGTGTTTTATGCAGATGTTCTACTATGATTTCAATCCCTCATTGAATTTTTTCCTTCTTTTTCCCAGTGTGAGATTAAGATTGCACAGCCAAAAGAAGTGTACCAGCAGCAGCAGTATGGAGGTCGTTTTGGAGGAAGAGGAAGGGGGCGTGGAGGTTAGTACTGCTGCATGATTCTCTCCTGTTGGACTGTCTCACCCACCACTCAAACTATAGGCTGCATTAGTCTGTGCAAAGTTTACCTAGATAAATGTACAGAGATGTGTATTAGAAAAACAACGGAGTCACCCTTGTGTCTGTATGAATTGAATGCTGTTGAGTTAACTGAGGCACGGCACTTATTTATATAGAGCTTCATACAATGCAAATTGTTTTAAAACCACTTAATGGTAATAAACCGGAAGATAATAATCAATGCTGGGAACTTAAAATATGACGCATACAAATTCAGCTCTAAAAAGGCCGTATTCAGCTAGCCAAGTCAGTTCAGTGTTGATTCAGTTCAGTAAATGTAAAGTTACTGCAGTTATGAAACAAGTTCAGTTCTGCTATAAGTAGCTCTACAGCAGATCGTGTTTATGACTGAGGCTGGTTTAAACATACTGATGAATCTGAATGTCTGATAACTTCATAGAATTAGAAATTTGTAATACAAAGTCTTGTCAGAATTTATTATTGCTCTCGTGCAGATATTTTAATGTAATTCCTCTTGCGTACAAGTCTTCAGATGTAATCTATCTTAAAAGCTTTGGCTGATCTCAGATCTGAATCTAAATCCGTTCTAATGCCCCGCAAAGCTTGAGTAGAGACCAATCGCTTTATGGTTTTACTAGTTGCTTACAGATATCAGCACATTACTGTGCAATGATGTTTAAAAATGGTTTGGATTTGTTTTATAGGCCAGGGTCAGAACTGGAATCAGGGCTACAATAACTACTGGAATCAAGGTTACGGTAACCAAGGTTATGGCTATGGTGGCCAGCAAGGTTATGGTGGATATGGAGGCTACGGCAACTATGATTACTCGGGTGGATACTATGGCTACGGCGGCGGATATGACTACAGTAAGCACTGATTGTCCTTTGGGTTTCCTCCCCACCCCCGTCAGGTTCTTGTGAATGCAAGGGACTCAAGTTCCTTTCTCTGCTCTTCTCTTACCCCCCTAGACCAGGGCAATACAAGCTATGGAAAAACTCCAAGACGTGGGGCTCACCAGAGTAGCTACAAGCCATACTGATCATGTGTAGTGCAGGTATGAATTTAAATTTTTTTCCCTCCACTCATGGTAAGGTTAATTTGGCTGTTGCTCCATTACCAATTCATCTCCATTTACCCAGCCGAACTATAAGGCAGATAGAGTGATCCAATTGGGGGTGGGTTTTTGTGGTCCAGTAGGGTTGTAGCAGTAGATCATAATAGGCCCCCATCTCTTCACCTCATTTATTTTCACATGTTAAGTTTACATGGATTCATGCGGCTAAATCTCTGTGTTTTCTCTTTTAAAGGTCGTAAAGCTACCGAGCAGGAACCAGCAGTCTGGTCACAGTGAACATTGGGGTCTTTTACTTTTGGAAGTTGGCGGAATCTGGACTTCTGCTTCATTTTGTACAGAAAACATAAGGAATTTGGGGGGGGGAGGGGGCGCAAATGTCACTTCTCACATTTGTTTTATTTTTATTTTTTTTCGTTGTGTCCTTTTTACATTTCCAGAGATGGAAGTGTTATTTTTTTACTGTACTTTTTGGTACCTTTTTGAATCTAATATTATTGAATGGTTGTATTTTACATCATGGCTGTGTCTACATCTAGGCTCAGAGCTCTCAAAATGCTTTCAAAATAAACCGTTTGTTAATTTTTCTTTAGTGTTCCTAGATTATTATTTTTTTTTTTTTCCCCTGTCACCTGTGCTCTGTGTTGCAAAGTTGCATGGCTTCAAGGTGAGATAAAAAAGGGATTTCTTTCCGATTGTAAACTTGTCCATTGAAATCTGTTAGTGGCAAGTCTTGGTGACGTTACTTTTTTATTTTTTGTCCCTCTCTACTGCTTTTAGGGAGATTTCCTCCCGTCTTGTTAGATATTTAAGAGTGGCTTTAATAGTGATTCAACTATACCTCAAAACATACACAGGTAACTGTAACAAGATTCTTTCTCGAAACACTGGATACACATTCCTCCAGTGTCTTGGACAAATTTCAAGAAATAAACTTGATTTTTAAGATGTCGATTGTCTAAGTCTTTTGCGTTCAATTTGCATAATTGTCTTTCTGAACCAACAAACCCTAGT